GAGGCAGCAGATGGTCCAGGGGACATTCTCTGACGCGTGACCCTTGGTGTCCCACTCCTACCAGGCAGCCCTGAGAGCTGCTCCAGCTTGTTTTACCCCATTGTCCTGCCTGCCTGTGAAGCTGGCAGGCCTGAGAAGACATGGGACGCTTGTGCTGGGTGCTCTGCAAGGTGGCCAGGAACTGACTGCAATGGCCAGGAAGGGGAATGGGTGCGGTGACCATGCAGAGGAGAAGCGAGAGCAGGCATGAGGCATGTAGTGGGGTGGGGGAGGAGAAAATGGACTGATTGGCATTTCCTGGAGAGATCTGTAGCAGAGGTGGGCAGGAAGGAGCAAAGGATGTTGCAAAGAGATGGGCAAAATGGGACAAAGCAGTAGCAGGCATTGGTACACCACAGCTGATGGAGGACGAGTAGCTTGGGATTTTGAAGGAACATAGACCAGAATTAGGGGATACAGGCCATTAGTCAAACCTCCTAAAGGACCTGAAACGCTATGTGTGTGCGTGGGCCATTCCACAGGGTGATGTTGTGGCAGCATGACACAGCTGTACCGTGGTCTCCCTCCCAGGGACTTCTCCCTTTCTCTCTTGCTCTTTTCTGGCATGGTCCAGAGCAAAGCACAAGGATGTCCCTGCCTCCAGGAGATCAGTTCTCAGCCTGGCAAGGGCTGGAGAAGCCCTAGCTTATGTTGATGTTATTTATGTCAGCAGGTAGAATCTGCCACCGAGATCAGGGTACAATTGTGCCAGGCACTTCACACAATCATGATAAAAAAGTGGTCTGTACTCCAAAAGGGTTATTATTCAAGACAGACAAGGAAATGAAGTTGCTTGCTCAACTGGCCCAGTAAGTCAGTAGCAGAAAGGGAGAAAGGAGCCCTGGTTTCCTTCGTCTGAGGTTGGTGCCTAATAGACCAGCCCAGATATAGTTTCTCACATCGCTCATATCATCATATTCCACTTGCCAGTGTTTATCTCACATCCTTGAGCAATAGCCCTCAGGACTCTGCAGTTTGGGTTTGTTTTGTTTTATGGAGGAAGCGACACTCTCAACACGCTCAGAGGTTACGTTGCTGCATTGCAACAGCTCCCATCCTACACGGAGATGGAAGGGATCTGAGCGGTACAGATGTGATGACTCAGCTTTGCTGGATTTTACAGTAGCAGAGCTCCGCTGACATTTCCACAGAAATATTCTGATGGGCTTGGTGTAAGAGGAAAAAGAACCAAACCTAGTGAAGCTGCTCCAAAGTTAACCACCCAAAGCGAGCCTTCCCCAAAGCCCTCTGCTCCCATACAGCAGGGAGGAAGGACACACACATCTTCCCAGTTTGAGATGCCTGCGGTGCAAAAACACCTACTCCACATGGTTGCTCTGACCTTTCGTAGTCAACAGAGAGAAAACAAACGCAATTAGGGCAGAGCTTCTCTGGTTTCTTTTAAACATTTGCTTTGGATAAAACAACTTGCTGCCTGGAAGCGCCCACTCTCCTGCTCAGACACAGCTCTCGATGTCTCGTCAGACGAACCCCGTGGACCACTAAAAAGGCTGGCAAGAACCCAGTGCACTGGATCTCTTCGGAGTAGGAAACTCCCCTCTGCCCACACAGATCATGCATCTCATGCAGAATTACATGTAATCTGCAAGTTCTTCAGGAGCTAATTAATTGTGGCAAGAGGTGGGCGGCTCCTACGCAAGCCCAAGCTTTGAATCAAAGGCACCTGAGCATCACTGGTGGCTGCTTGGTTTGGGGGGTTACACTCACACAAGGAGACAAGGCAAGGGTGGGGAAGAGGCCTCCTGTGCCAGTGGCATAGCGCTGAGTTAGGGAAGGGACAAGGTCAGCTCTGCAGGCTAGGTAAGGGAACGCTGCACTGCTCAGGCGTGAAGTGGCTACATCTGTCTGGTTTTACTTTCCCTGCCGGCCTTCGATTTGGGAACAGTATTTTTTGTCATCTAAGGACACCCAGAGAGGGACTCTGTCACAAGTCTCAGCATGCCAAAACCTCAGGGATGACGAGGAAGAGACACTTCCACTAGGAACGTGACCACTCCTTTATCAAGTAAATATCATTTAGGGAAAAAATCTGCTCATCTTGACCAGGAGGGCCACCAGTCCCTTACCAAGTAGCTACCACCATGCACTACCGCTCCACCCAACTGACAACTGCTTTTTCTCCCAAAATTCCCATCTGCAGTGCAATGATCAGAACAAGCCGTTGTTAATCAATGATCTCAAGTTCCAAGATAATGCCAGAGTTGTGCACATCCCAGCTCCGCTTCTTGTGACAGAGCTGCATACATTAGTTGCTAAACAATGTTGTTTCGAGCTGTACGTACACTTACATAACCTTGTACCATATAATCAACACATTTCATGGCACGAAGAGATCAATCATTTTGATCTCAGTCACAGAAATATACCTCTGCTCCCTATCATGTCATGGAAACAACAAAAAAACCCACCCAAAACAACAAAAAGAATTTCCAACCTCCGCACCTGCCCAGCGTAGCTTGATGTGCCTCAAGACTGGCTCTTTTAAAACCCGTGAGCATGACATGACCACCACTGGCAGTGAGCAGCCGAAATCCAGCTCCAGTGCAGAGCAAAGATCATGGGGAAAGGCTGGGGGGAGGTCTGCTGGTGAAGGGAGGGAAGGGAGGAAAGGATGAAAGGAAGAAGGGAGGGATGTATCTGTTCAGCGATGGAAAGAGAGTTCTTTGCACTGTGCTCCCTTCCCTTGCCCCCTTCCCAGGACACTCCCCAGCCAGCCCTTCTCCATCACCAGGTGCTCTTTCCAAGCCTGGGAAGAGAGGCTCACAGCCTCCTCCAGAGGCAGCACTAGCAGCAGGCTGTGGGTACCAGCCCCATACTCACCTGTTTGCTTTGCTGCACCTCTGGAAGAAGGACCATAGGTAAGACAGGTTCTGCCATCATCTCCAGAGCAAGGACAGAGGCGCTGGGGGGGGTGGTGAGGGCTGAGACCTGTAGGACTGCATGGGCTATGGCACGCGGCAGGGCAGCAGCCTTGACACCATGCTGCTGCTCCGGGGGTATGTTGGCCCTGCTCCAACGGGCCACCTCCTGATGCTGAAATCCGTAGTGCTGGATGAAGGGCGTAGGAGGTTGTGAGGGAAGTGGGATGCTTTCAGACAGACCGGCGGTTTTGAGAACTTCAGCTTCCAGGAAAGGATCTTGCCCTGTTATTCTCACTTCCACTTGTTCTTCCTCGATAGAGCTGATCCTCTTCATGGAGCAGCAGCTCAGGGAAGCTGCCTCCCCAGCCAGGGAGCAGCATGGGGAGAGAAGGAAACTCCTGTTTTTTAAAAGAGAAAAGAAGGGTGCCTGCTTTTGCCTCACCGTTGCTTGCTCCAAGCAGCCCCATGGGATGCCTGCACCTGCAGAAGTACAGGGCAATAAAATCACCGGCGTGAGCTTTCCAGAGACCCATCCCTGCAGGGAACCTTTGTGCCAGCCTCCTCTCCCCTCCAGCCCTCCACATAGATCACCTCCATCTGAAAAACTGGAGAGCGGAGAGCAGGAAGCCGTTTCACCACAGTGCAGCCTGTCTGATCAGGCCCACCACCACCCCATCCCCTGCAGATGGACCCCATCCCCACAAGCAGCTCCAGCCGTGCCCGGAGTGCACTGTGCACCTCTCACAACACCCAAACCAAATCAAACGGGGATGCCCTTCGGCCTCCTTGGGTGCCCTGGTGTGCCAGCTGCCAGGCTGGGTGCACCCCGCAGCCCACCACCCCGTCCCTTGCCTCCCAAAGGTGGCAGCAGCAGTGGGTGCAGCGCCACAGCCCGGCATCCTCAGGGCTCTGGTACCCTCTGCCGGCCTGCAATGCTCCTTTCCCTGATGCAGCCTCTCCCGGGATGGGATTTCCAACCTGAAGGTCACTCCAGACACGGCAGCAGCCTCCCGGCACCCGCTTTGCTCGCCTGCAGCGCCCACTGCGCTGCCTTCAGAGTCCTCCACCGGGACACATCGGAGCTGGTGGGCAGGGGGCTACCCGCACCTCACCTTCTGAGAAGGACACTTCACAGAGCTGATGCTGCTTCCCTAGAAGTGACAAAAACCTGCAGAGTTTGACAAGCGTGAGGTTGTACAGCAAACGCAGAAGGGCACAACCGCATCTCAGGGCTGAGAACCCAGAAGAGGCTCCTGGTGAGCGGAACAACCCTCCCTACAGCCATCAGCACTCAAAGGTGGTAGAAAAGGGCACACAGCTCTGAGGCATCAGCCCCCCAATCTCCATCCTCAATGGGGCAAGCGGGGGGCTCAGCCCATGCCTCCAGGAAGGCTTTCGCCCAGCCCTTCATGCTGCAGGGTAAAGCATTTGTCTGCTGCAGCTTTCCAAGAGGGGAAGGAGGGAGAAGCAAAGAGCAGCTTTGAAGCAGGGAACAGCAGGTCATTTCCTTCGCTGCCCCTGGCAGATGGGGAAGAAGGCAGCTGCCTGCACACAGTGCCTGGGTAAGGTGCCTCCTGCACTGCTGAGCCCAGCAGGATTTATGCCTTAATAGACAGATCAAGGAGAATGAGTTTCTGCCTTCAGGGCTGCTGGTGCTGCCCACGGGGCTGTGAAAAGCCTCGAGGTGAGCCTTCGGGGTAGGTGCTGGGCAGCGGGTAACACAAGGTAAGGAGGAGGGATGCCTTTCCAACCCAAATCCTGCACTGCCTCTTCAAAGGAGAAGGGATATACGCCCCTCTGTTCCCCCAGGCAGCCAAAGGGTGCCGAGGCTACTGTCATGACCCAACATCGTTTTTATTTTAATACAAACTTAAAACTTTTGTAGTTCAAAAGAAACATCGACATGAAACAGTGACAGAGCACCCAAGGGAAACCCTGACCACCCCAAACCCTGGTTCAAGAGGGAGGCACTGGGCTGCTGGGCTCCCTAAGGCAAAGCTTCTTCCAGGAGCAGGTTCCAACCCCACAGGGCACTCTGCCTGCACGAGGCAGCGCTGGTCCCCTCCGTGGGCGTGGGACGGGAAGGTCACTTGATGCGGTAGAGGACTTTGCGTTGCATGCGATGCTGGATCTCCCCCCGACGCATCATCAGCTGCAGCACCTTGTATATGGCGTGTTCTGGGTATTTCTGGAAAAACGGAGATCAAAGAGAGATAAGCCAGCAGGGAAAAACTCACCAGAGCCCGGTGGGAACCTGCAACTGCCGCTAAAAGCCTGGCTGTGACTCTCTGGAGGGAGGGAGCCCAGTGGCACCAGGCACTGACACTCCTTTCCCCTTTCACTATTTCATCTCTGACTTCAGCCAGTCTCACACAAACAGTCCTAGTTTCAAGGGTAGGACCCCAACAGCCCCAAACCCCAGTGCTTTTGCAGAAAAATGAGTTCTCGCCTCACTGCCCTTAAACTCTGCAATCACATTGCACACCGCTCCCTACAAACAGCTTCAAAAGCAGGTATGACCAAAAGGCTCTCCAGCCACCTCCTGGGGAGTGGGTTCCCCCTCCCCGAGTGGCAGCCTGGGGTCTCTGGGTTTCCCAGCCCCACCCTCCACAGGGTCCCCGGCCCACCTGCCGCATGAAGTCCTGGACAATGCTGTGCTCTGACACCTGAGAGCCGATGGCGAAGCGGCGCTTGAGCTGCTTCTCAATGCGGGACAGCATCTCCTGGTCCTCCTGTGTTGTGAAGCCTTCCGCTCCTGGAGAGAGAGGCTGCGTGAGTTCTCTGTGCCGCCTAGACGTCACTCTCAGAGGCAGAGCGCCTGTCTCCCGTGTCTCCCACCACACCTGCGTGCCTCAGACTTTAGGGAACCCAGGAGCAAATCCACCATCCACATTGTGGAGCTCCAAGGACACTGCTGAACATGGACCTGATTGTTGGAGCTTCCTTCAAACCCTTTGTGCCACACTGCCTCCCCAAGGAAAAGTTGGCTCCACCACCATAGGGAAATATGTTAGGGGACAAACAGGGAGGGCAACCACCTCCTGGACTCTGCCCTTGGGACCACAAGGGGCCAGACCATCCCTCCTTACTCAGCACAGGTGGATACCCTCAGTGTCATTTGTTGTTGTCCCCCCCGGCAAGCCACAGCCCCACAGCCATGACAGCCCCTTGCTGCCACAGGCATTGGATCACCTTTGCTCAAAGCAGGCCCAGCACCTGCCCAGGGGTCCCTTGGGGTCCCTTGCAGCACCCCCTTGCCCCTGCCAGCCCGGTCCTGGAAGGGGACCTCACCTCTCCTTGCCCTGAGCAGCCAGACCCAGCGTGTCCCCCATCCCCAGCAGAGAGCATCTCCCCCTCACCTGACAGGCTGCCCGACATGGCCGCATCAAGCGTGGACACCTGGAAGAGCCGCAAGGCCTCCTCAACGTCTGCCTCAGTGGCGAAAGGCTGAAGCCTCATCTTCCCCAGGGACTCAGCAATGCGCACGATGGCCTCCAGTTGCCTGTGGGCAAAGGAGATGTTCCCTGCTTTGTACTGCATCTCCAAGGGGTCTTCTCCGTCCCCCTCCAATCCCTGACACTTTCATCTACCCCACTCCAGGCACCTTCACCCGAGGGTTTTGGGGCGAGAGGGGCAGGTTGCTCACCGGACAGTGATGGGGATGCTGGAGCGGCGGTCGCTCTCCTGCTCATGCTGGCGAGTACCACTCCGCATCAGGATGTAGCGATTCTTCAGCTTCTCCGCCGCCGCTGCCGACAGCCGAGGGCCACATTTCCTGCAAGGGAAGACAGGAGCTGGAGGCAGCACCGACGGGGAGGGTCCCTTGGGCAGGTGGGACCCCAGGCAACCCTCGCTTCTTCAGTCCATGCTGCAACACCGTTGCAAGCTGCTCTCGCTTCCCTTTTTTCAGGACAGGAGTTATAAAAAGGTCACCCCGATAGAGCACTTGCAAATACCAGCTGCATGGTTCGCTCCTCACCACTGCCTCCCACCGTGCAGCCCGGGCACTGCCGAAAAGTCACGCCTCTCACTCACGTCCGGCAGAAGGAGATGAGCTTCTTCAGCTTGTTCAGCTCGATCTCTCCCTCCACGGCCTGGGTCTGCGTCAAGGCGCTCACATGCAAGGACATCACGTGCTTAGCCAGCGTCTAGGAGAGCAGAAGGCAGTCAGGCAGCAGGAACCCTGTGTCTCACCCTCTCAAAAAATGGGGCACCACAAGTCCCAGCTGCACCTACACGCCCTGACCCACCATGTCTCGCTCCTCGTTGTGCTCATCCTTGACGATGAAGATCATGTCAAACCGGGACAGGATGGTGGGCATAAAATCAATGTTCTCCTCGCCCTTGGTCTCATCCCAGCGCCCGAAGACAGAGTTGGCAGCTGCCAGCACTGAGCAGCGGGAGTTGAGCGTGGTTGTGATTCCTGCCTGTGGGGAGAAGGAGAAATAGATGGGGTCAAGACCACGTCCATGTCACAGCAGAGCAAGAAGGCTATTAACTCCAAGTGAAAGGTCCAAAGCAGTTTGCAAGGACTCATCCTCAATCACTTCTATTTAAATAAAACCCCTTAAATAGCACCCAATTGCTCTGTAATGGTTCTACATCGGAGAGAGGTCACCAGAAGGTACAAAGGGTTGGACCCACATGTCCTTCTGGAGTAGGACTGGCTTCAGCCGAGACTTGAGCACTGAGCGACTTCATTTAAAACCTCATGTCAAGCACAAAAACATGTAAGATCCCACCCCAAGTTCACAATCTGAGACAGAAACTGGGAGGCCGGGGCTGAGTCCCCTTGTGCAAAGTGTGAGTGTGCAGGGCAAGAGCAACCTGCAAGGAAAAGCCATGGTGGGTGCTGTCACCAGGCACTGAACAGCTAAGGGGTGGGCCACAGTGACCAGAGGTGCCACAAAAACCAAGTTGAGCAGTGGAAATGAGGAGAAACTCTGATTTGAGATAAGACCTGGCACCAGGATGTCAGGCAGTTTCTGTAGATCTGAGGGGGTGGACACAGTGGGAAGGAAGAAAGTGACATCAGGCTGTGACACAGGGACATCAGCAGAACTACTAAATCTAGAGCAGAAGACAGGCAGAGCAGAGGGAGCTTGTTTCAGTCCTGCTGTAGTTCAGGCTGCCTAAGAGAAGACAACCCAAAGCCTACAAGCAGGGCTGAGTGGTCTCAGATTAGAGAAACCAGTAACCATCAAAACCACTTGCTCCAAAATGGGCATTTTTGGCAAACTGAGTGACCACTGGTCGTGGGCTCTCAGAAACCCAGTGGCAAGTCAGGCTCCTGCCCCAGGGTGACACACACCCGGCAGCTCACCTTAGCAATGGAGATGGTCTGCTGCTCCATGGCCTCGTGAATGGCCACGCGGTCATCTTCCCGCATCTTCTCATCCGAGATGGGGGAAATGAGGCAAGGAGATTAAAAAAAAAAAATCATCATCAGTCACCTCTGCCAGACCTCAGCTACCCACCCACTGATGCTGACGCCCGAGGTAAAGCTCTGCAAGGGCCTCTGCCCGAGAGTGCCGGGCACAACCAGAATTTCCCTGCAGCCCCATCCCCTGACCTTCCCCAAAAGAAAGTGAGGCAGCCTCAGGATAGCTGCCCTTTCTCCTGCAGCCCTGGGCTCTCCCGGGAGAAGCTGGCAGCCCCAGGGGTCCCTTCCCTACTCCCACACATACCTTGTCGAACTCATCAATGCACACTACTCCCCCGTCCGCCAGCACCATGGCTCCTCCCTCCATGAAGAAACTCCTGGAGGAAGGGTCGCGGATCACTGAGGCCGTCAAACCAGCAGCGCTGCTGCCTTTCCCTGAGGTGTATACCTAGCAGCATGCGGGACAAGGAGGGGGAACAGCACGTCAGCCACCATGGGATCTAGGAGCCCACTGCTCCAGCTGGAGGACAAAGGACCCCCAGTACTACAAAATCCAGAGCTGCTGGAGGAAACACAAGGACCTCCAGGAAAACCCATCAGCACATGCCAAGAACAGACCTGCTGGGTACAGAGCAAGACCATTGCCTAGTCCCAGGCCTCGGACAAAGCAGCTGTGACACAGCGGAGGGCTTCCGGACACGCAAATACAGGTATTAAGTACAGAACAAGGAGTGATTCATTGTTTGGTGGGCTGCTGCATTAGCTTTGTTTCTCTCCCCACCCGAGGGAACAAGGCAGAGGCTGAGTTTAATAGAGACTACAAGCAAACACAGCTGAAAATATAATTTCATGCCTGGGCTCAGCCTGCAGGTCCGTGCCCGAGATACAATCAACTTCATTTGTCCTGACCAGCCAGCCTCTCCACTGATCAAGTCTCAACAACAAACAGCAGCACCAGTCACGTCTTTGGACGTCTGCAAATAGCCTGTCTCATGTCATAATGAAAGGCATTACCTGCTTCCCGTCTCTCCCTTGTCCCCCATCCTGCACCCCATCCCTCCCAGGCTGGCACCAGAAATGGCAGTTCCCACCTCTGCCAGCCAGTCTAGCAGCGGATGCTGTGACCGTTGTCTGGCCTTCGGTCCCATGCAAGGAGCAGAGGGAAGAAGCGAGCCACCTGACAAGCAGGTCTGTCAAACCACCTACCCCAATGGGTGAACACTTCTCAACGAACTTCAGCAGCTGCGATTTGGCTGTGCCGGGGTCACCCAGCATCAGCAGGTTGATGTCTCCTCTGCGGGTCAGCCCATCTGGGAGCCTGGAGTGACAGGGTGGGAAGAAGAGAGGGAGGAGGGATGGTGAGCCTTTATTTTGATAACCAAGCATTGCTGACAAGCGGTAGGCAGCTGGCAGCACTGCCAGAAGACTGTACGAGGGCTTTGGGCTGTGCATGACACCCCTGCCACCACCCTCTCTCCACCAGGCTGACTGTTTCCCACCTCTTGCGAGAGCCTCCAAATAAGAGGCAGGCAATGGCCTTCTTGATGTCGGTGCTGCCATAGATGGAGGGCGCTATGCTCTTGGCAATGGTCTCGTAGATGTTGGGAGTGGCAGCCAGGCAACGAAGTTCCTCCTCTTCTTGAGGGGTCACGGAGCCCGCAAAGCTGTGTCCTGGACAGGGATGAGGAAAATGATGCAACAGTGAACAAATGGATGTTTAACAATAAATGACACTACTTGCTCCCCTGCCCCGCTACCACCAAAATCCTTTCTTGAAGATCATGCCAAGTGCCACCAGTTGTTTAGGGTGGAAAGGGCAGGCATTTGTTATCCCAGCAAAGCAGTCTGTGTCCTTACGATACTGATAGGAAGAAGCAAGGACCTTGGGCAAAATAGCTCTGGAGGAACCAGAGGCAGAATTACAGCTGGGACCATGTTTTCAATATATAGCTCAGTTTTAACCACTGACCTCAGCCCAGATCCTCAGGGATGGCTTAGCAGATTCCCACTAAGATCAACGAGGTAAAGGCACTTAAATACCCTGGAGGACTCAGGCTGAAGCTTCCTCATTTAATATCACTGAGAAAGTCATACAGGACACAACTACAGAGCACCCAGGACAAGTCGGACCCCTGGACCAGCTTGACCCTTCTGCTATATAAGGCAGCAGAGAAGGACCGAGGCTGTGATTCCATATGGTCCTTGCTGAGGGACCACCCTGTTCAGGAAGGGGAGTCTCCCAACACCAGGCTACCAACACAGACCAGACAGACACCAAAAGCAGCCCTCACCTGAGCCCTCCACATCCACCTGGATGCCCACCACACGGATGTAAGCACTTCGGATGCCCACGCCCACGTGGTCACGGCTTTTGTTCTTGCTCTGGGCAGACTTCTTGATGGAGTAGATGCCCATGACAGTGACTCTGTTCCCTGGGACAACTTTGTCACACAGGTACCTAAGAGGAGGAAAGGGAAAGCAGAGGATGGTAGCATGGGAAAGGATGGCAGCAGCAACACCCTGCGGGGTGAGGTGGGGAGGCCGCGCTGGTACCTGTCGCAGTAGAGCTGTAAGTGCCTGGGCATCTCCCCGTGTGGCACAGCGTCAGGGGACTCCTGCAGCTTCAGGACCTGGAAGTCCACACACTTGCACTTATCTGGCATGATGAAATAAGGGTCCAGCGGGCACTTGGGGCGGCCGGCTTGTTCTCTGTGTGAAGAGATCAATCAGAGAAAGCTGCTGGCACTCAAGAGCCACCCCTAGGAGTCCCCCTGTAGAGGGGACAGTGGTGACAGAGCCCAGAGCAGCTGCCCCTCTGAGCAATGCCCAGCAGGTGAAAGCACAGTCACACAGGGTCAAAACAGAGGCGCAGCAAGCCTTCTGTCTCTCCTTCAACAGCTGCCAAAAGCGGGCATGAGACCAAGCCAAAGACAGGGTGATACCTGCCTGAATATCCTGCTGCCTCCCCCCTCTCCCCTGCTGGCTAAAAGTGGGGAAGAAGGCAATTCATAAATTACACAGAAGGTAACAGTATAGACACAGCGACACGGCAGGGCATTCTTCTTTATAATCTTGCGCGAGGCCAATGTTAAGTGGTTTCTGGTGAGAAAGCAATTAGCAATGTGACAAGGCTGCCATCAACCTCCCAGTCTCTTGAGATGTATCTGCCTTCCTAGACTACAAGCTCTCCAAGACAAGGAGCATCTCCACATCCTGCTGCTGTCCCTCAGAGCACTGCTACCAACACCTGACTCCATGCAGGGAGGGTAACATGAGAGTGCAGATGCACTTGTGAAGTCCAGGATCAGGAGGCAGGTGCTGTACAGAGCACCCGGAAGAACGATTCCTATCCCAAAGGCCTCTCAAACTACATTGGAGATAAGTGCAGAAAATAAATACTGGCAGGCACAAGCTCAAAGACACACAGCCCACCAGGATCAGTCAGCACACGAGCTGCGGCACAGTGGCAGCCTAATGCTCACCATACGTGTGGGCATCCACAGCTGTAAAGCTGAATGGGAAGTGTCAGCAGCAAAGCACCCCTACAGAAGGTGACACAGAACAGCCCCCTGGGGAAGGGAGACATAGAAGCAAGAAGTTTGAAAAAAGATAACAACTTAATAGGAAGTTAGGACAGCAGCTTAACACAGCATCACAGAACAGCTGGAGGCAGGAGTGAACCCTTAGGTACAAAAGGCAAAGCACCCAAAGATATAACGAACTCCCCAGACACTGCCACTCAGCCCTGCAGGCAACACTGGTCATGCTGCACCACCGTCTGCGGGACCACAGACAGACGGAGCCAAAACCGGCTGGCCATGCGTGCCCGCAGGCACCAGGGCGACAGGAAGGGAAAAAGCAGAGAGCAGCACTGATGCTTCTGCTGTGTAGGACAGGGACTTGACCCTATGCAG